CGAAACATATTTTCGATGAACACTATGCGTATGGCACAAATAAATTTCTCGGAAGAGAAGTCCCCCTTAGAGCCCATGTTTTGTTTAAAGCCACATAGACACTAAATATACCAATTTGGGTACTATTTAGTTTTGGGGGAAAGGGGTAATTCAGACAACAAGATCAAAATATTATTGTGCAGCTCAATTTCAATTATCAATATACTCTGAAAAAAATTCAACATTGAGTTTAGGCCATTCTTCTTTCATTTCCTTTTCTTCACTTTTTTTTTTCAAGAAAAATGATCGAAAGTTTCTACTCCACTCCATAAGGGGAAAAAAACCCATCAAAATCTCTTATACAGACGGAAAGTGGGCACAAATTTTTTTCAGGAAAACAAAAATGAAAACAGAAGAGCGTGAATTGTTAGATAAGGCATGAATTGTTAGATAAACGAAAAGCCCAAAAGAATTAGAAACTAAGAATGTGAACTACCTCTCTACAATTGACTTGATCACAGTGTGTATAAGCTTTTTAAGCAAGTATAAGCGTCGAGATTTCCAAGGCATCCATTATTGCTTGTTGGAGCAGAATAGATTATTGAAGGATTGAAGCAAGAAAGAAGCCTCAAACTCATTACAAGAATTGTATATAAATAATTAAATAGAGAAAATGAAATCAAAACTAATTCAGCTGTACAAACCAATATAACGTGAACACGTGTAATGAATTAGCTAATTTAACTATTTAACCGATAGCCCCCTGACATTGTTTGCATGTTTTCAATGGTGAATTGCCATTCTCGATGAGCTATAATGAGTTGTTGCCTATCTTGATAAGCTGGAATGAAAATGAAATCAACTCTAACTAATTCAGCTGTACAAACCAATATAATGTGAACACGTGTAATGAATTAGCTAATTTAACTATTTAACTGATAGCCCCGCTCCAGTGACATTGTTTGCATACTTTCAACGGTGAACTGACTTTCTCGATGAGTTGTTGCTTATCTTGATAAGCTGGAAAGAAAATGAAATCAACTCTAACTAGTTCAGCTGTACAAACCAATACAATGTGAACACATGTAATAAATTAGCTAAGTTAACTATCTAACGGGCTCCAATGACATTGTTTGCATTCTTTCAATGGTGAGCTACCTTCCTCGATGAATTGTAATAAGCTGCCGCCTATCTTGATAAGCTGGAATGAAAATGAAATCAACTATAAATAATTTAGCTATACAAACCAATACAATGTGAATACGTGTAATTAATTAGCTAATTTAACTATCTAATTGATAGCTGACTCCAGTGGCATTGTTTGCATGCTTTCAATGGTGAGATGCCTTCTTCGATGAGCTGTAATGAGCTGCCGTCTATCTTGATAAGTTGGAATGTAAATGAAATCTATTCTAACTAATTCAGCTATCCAAACCAATACAATGTGAACACGTGTAATGAATTAGCTAATTTAAATATCTAACTGATAGTTGGCTCCATTGACATTATTTGCATGCTTTCAATGGTGAGTTGTCTTTCTTGATGAGCTGTAATGAGCTATCGCCTATCTTGATGAGCTAGAGTTACTCTGTTGCCCTCCCTCAAGATGGAGTGCGCGGGTTGATGACGCCCATCTTGGATAATAGAGGGAACAACAGAGAGGCATGTATAGCTTTTGTGAAGATATCAGCTAATTGATGATGGGACCGAACTGGTAACAACTTGACAAAACTATTAGCCACCTTATCTCGAACAAAATGATAATCAATCTCTATGTGCTTAATACGTTCATGAAAGATAGGGTTTGAAGAAATGTAAATTGCCACTTGATTGTAATAAAATATTAATGCAAGGTCTTTGTTGAAAATTTAAAAACCATGAAGCAATTAAGTGAGCCAGACTAATTCACTGGTAGTAGATGCTAATGCACGATATTCAAGTTCAGCTGAAGATCTGGATATTGTAGTTTAGTTCTTGGCTTTCCAAGAAATTAGAAAATCTCCAAGAAAATCACAAAAATTGGTGACAGAATTGTATCAAGGCAAGATCCCCAATCTGCATCTGCAAATGCTCTCAACTGAAATGTAGATTGTGAAGAAAATAAAATTCCTTACCCTGGACTTGCCTTGATATACTGCAAAAGATGATGAGCTGCGTCTAAATGTGGCTGCCTAAGCTGTGACACACAAAAGTGATATCAGGTTTGGAGATAGTGAGGTAAAAGAAGCGACCAATTAGTCTCTAGTACATGGATGTATCAACAATTGGTTCTCCTTCAAATGAACTGAGCTTTATATTAGGATCCATAGATAATGCAGCTAGTTTACATGCCAAGAATTCAGTATCCTCAAGTAATTGCAAAGTATACTGCCGTTGAGACATGAAGATCATTTTTTGTGACATTGCTATTTCTAGCCCAAGAAAAAACTTTAATTTGCCAAGATCTTTCAGGTTAAACCGACTATGCAGGAAGCCTTTGAGTGAGATGATTTCATACTGATTAGATCTAGTGATGAGGATGTCATCTACATAGACTAATAGAGTAATAAATGTGCTACCAGCACCTTTGGTAAACAATAAATAATCTAATTTTGACTGCTTAAAACCGTGATTAATAAAGGTATTGGAGAATTTTGAAACCCATTGCCTTGATACTTGCTTAAGGCAATAAATGGACTTGTGAAGTCTATAAACCAGATTTTTCCTTTGAATTTTAGAATCATCATATTTTCTATATCCCAAGGGTAAATCCATGTATATTTCTTCGAACAAATCTCCATTGAAAAAAGCATTGTTAACATCAAGTTGTGCGATATGCCAATTATTAATGGCATCTATAGCTAGAAGAGCTTTGACTGTAACAAGTTTGTTGACATGTGAAAATGTCTCCTTGAAATCCAATTCCTCTTGCTGAGTATATCCCTTAGCTACCAAGCATACTTTGTATCTTTCTATGCTGCCATCTGATTTATACTTTATTTTATAAATCCATCTGCAGCCTATACAATGTTTCCCATCAGGTAGTTTGGTAATAGACCAGGTATTAGTCATCTCCATGGTATTTAATTCAGCCGCCAAAGCATCCTTCCAATGATCATATTTAATAGCTTGATGATACTATTTAATTTCAAAGTTTGATGATACATTTAGAAGATAATGACGATGAGAAGGAGAAAAGGACTTGTAAGAAATGCATTTGGATAATGGATATGGTAAATAATCATAGGACCATTGACTGTTAGTTAGGAGATTACAATGGAAACCTCTAAGATAAGAAGGAGGTCTGCTGAATCGAGATGATCTTTTGGGAGCATCTGGTATGTAAGAATGATTAGTGATGAGAGATGAGTTGTGCTGCAATTCATCTGTACCATTATCAGCTTCAATATTCACATCATGGATTCTGGATTATAAAGTAGAAGCAGGTATATTGTAATTGGAATGATGGATTTCTGAAGTAGAAATAGGTAACACAAGATCACGAAAAAGATCCACAAGATCAGAATGATGAGAAATATGCTGGAATGGAAATATCTGTTCATGAAAACCCACATCTCTGGAGTAAACAAAGTCTTGGATATGATATCATACAATTTATATCCCTTTATTCCTGGAGGGTACTCTATGAAGACACATTCTCTAGCTCTCAAAGTAAAACTTGTTCGACTGGATGGCAGAGTGGATGCAAAACATAGACTTCCAAACACTTTGAGTTGACTATAAGCTATAGGAGTATTATACATGAGAGAGAATGGACTTTTATTTTGTAAAATGGAGGATGAAGTTCTATTAATAAGAAAAGTTGCAGTTAATACACATTCACTCCAAAACTGAACAGGAACTTGTGCCTGAAAGTACAATGCTCTAGCCACGTTAAGCAAATGTGGATATTTTCTCTCAACCACTGAATTTTGTTTAGGCTTTTCAACACAAGTAAACTGATAAATGACTCCTTTATAATGAAAGAAATCAGTAAACTTTAACTCTGGTGCATTACCTGATCTGAACTTCTTTATAACCCTTTGAAATTGAATCTCAATCATCTTCAATAATCTGGAAATGATGTAGCTGGCCTTTGATTTGTGTTTCATAAGATATACCCATGTGAATTGCGTGCAATCATCTACCAAAGTAAGAAAATACTTGTATCCAGAGTGAGAAGGATCCTCAGGTGTCACAGTGTATCAAGTCAAAAGCATTGACAGATAAGTGATTATTTGAGACAGAAGAAAGTCTTCTCTGTTTTGCCAATGGACAAACATTACAAAGAACTGAGTTAAAGTTTCCATATTTATCACAACTCAAATGCAATTCATCCTTTAAGAAGGCTACCTTCTGAAAAGACAAATGGCCTAATCTGTGATGCCATATATGACCATTCACTTTATTTATAGCTGATGAAATAGAAACACAAACATCATCAACCAAAATGTTACTTCTATTACCCTGTACTGAATCAGATGAGGAATCATTCATTATGTAT